TGCTCAGAGACTGTTAGACAATATTGTTGCTCCTTATTTTCCCCAAATTCCTGCTGTTTTTTTTTTAACTGTAGCACACAACCCACTCATTTCTTAGGAAAGGTCTATGAGCCTCTTGAAGGAGTGGGTATGATGTAGTGGGAAAAAAAGTCAAGAGGACTTAGGTTCAAACCCCATCTCTGATACTTACTAGTTGTACGACTCTGGGTGAGTCATGTAACCTCTTAGGCAGGCCTCATTTTCCTCATCTGTGAAATTTTTAACAGATGAGAACACTGAGACTAGGAGACATTAAGTATTTTGCCCAGTTAGTAAATGTCTGAAGTAGGATTTGAACCCATGTCTCCTCAGCTCCCAAGATTAACATGACTTGAAGCTGCCATGACCAACTGGATGCCTAGTCCCTAATGCCCATGGTGCATACCTCACAGGGTGATTGTGAAGATCAAATGAGATAAGATTTGTAGTTTGTAAAATGCTTTACATTTTACAAAATTTTAAACATCATAGGAATGCCAGTTATTGTGTAGAGTAACTCTATAGAAAACACAGTATCTTACTGGAGCATCCTTTTCCTGGAACCATGCAGGACAACATATGCTGTATGCTATTTTTCTTACTGGGAAGCTGAGTGATACAGTGGATATTGGGCCAGAAGTCAGGAAGACTCATTTTCTTGTGTTAAAATCCAGCCTCAGACATTTACTAGTTGTGTGACCCTGGGCAAGTCACTTAATTCTGTTTGCATCCATTGCCTCATCTGTAAAATGAGCCAGAGAAGGAAATGGCAAACCACTGCAGTATCTCTGCCAAGAAAACCCCAGATGGGGTTAGGAAGAGTCAGACACCACTGAAATGACTGAAGAACAACAACATTTTTATTATTGAGCACTCTAATCTTCTGATGTCTTCTGCTTGGTGTCGATCGTGGGCACTATTTCCCTTCTCCTGTAGATGCTGCTTGCTTATCCAAAGGCCATTTGATTCCCTGCCCTGTTCTGATTCCTCCAGGTACCAGCCCCTCCCATCTCTAGGAATGGAATCCCTGCCCCCTCCAGTTATTCAGTTGGAAAGGTAGGAGGGAAGCTTGATCTCAAAGACATTTTTCTTTAGCCAGTTTTGGTAACTGCCCCCGAAGTGCACGTGTATGGGCACACACGTCTTCACTTTTCTTGCTCTCCTTATTTCTCTTCCTCTTCCTTTCCTCCACCCCCTCCCACAATTACAAGTTGCAAGAGGAGGGCTAGGGACTGAGAAAGTCACAGCTGTGACTCTGGTCTCGGTTTCCACAAGGACACCTAGTCTGTTCCTTCTGTTAGTCATCTGATAAGCTGGTCCTGTACCCTGTCCCTCTCTGACTGCTAGCTTACTGCCCATGGTGGCAGGAGCAGATGCTTGAGTACATCTTAGCTCCTGAAGTTCTGATAGGTCCTTTAGTCTGAGACTCAGGAAAGCTTGGCTTTGCATAATCAATTATCATCATTATCAAACTTTATACGTTTATTTGATTGTATTAGTTTCAGCCTAACACATTTGCACTCCACTAGGTTTGGAGTCAGAAACTGGGTTCAAATCCTGGTTGAATGAATGAATGAAAAATTATTTATTACATCCTTAACACATGCCAGTCATTGTGCTAAGTGCTGGGGATACAAACACAAAAAGTAATACAGCCCCTGCCCTCCAGGAGCTTTTGTTTTAATAGGGAATAAAACAAGGATGGGGTAGTGGTGAGAAGGAAGTCCTTTGTTTTTATCTGGGAAGTCTAAGGGATGGTGAATGGGCAGTTGGTTGTATGATTGGTCTTTTCTCCTTTCGAAGACTAGTACTGTTGATTTGGTTACTCTTACCAGATATAGAAGTTGAAAGCTGTGGTGGTAGGGAGTTGGGGGTGTGGAGTGTGGCGATGGAGGCTGGAGTTCAGAAGCATAAGATGTTGGGGAGAGCAACAGTGTGGTACATATGGATTGGGGCTAGATATGGGTCTAGCCAATCAGAAATTCAGAATCCTAGATGGGAGTTAGAATGTTGGTTCTTACATCTGTTATCTCTGTGACTTTTAGAAAGCCATTTAACTTCTCTAGTCCTCAGTTTCCCCTTTTCTAAGATGTGAGATTAGAATAAATGATTTTCAAAGCCTCCATTCATGCTTCTGTCTTCTAAGAGGAATCATATTTGGAGTGTTCCTAGACTGTGGCTCACATTTATATGGTGTTATGATAACTTGACATGGTAGCTAAAGAGAACAGATCTGACTAACCAAAACACCTGCAGGGTAAATACCTTGCAAGGTAACAGCATTTTTACACTAAATAATGATAATAATAATAACAAATAATCTGGTTTCTTTTCCTCACAGGATTGTTGTAAGGAAAGCACTATGTAAATATGAGCCATTGATACATTACTGTAATACTCGAAGGAGCCTTTGTTTTGGCAGTGTGGGTATTCTGAACCTTGAGAACAAAAGAGGCCCACTGGCAACTTTTCCAACATTTGTTAAGCTCCTACAATGTATACTCATAGATACAGATTAGAAATGATACCATTTCTGTCCTGGAAGAGTTTGTAGTACAATGAGGGATATGACACGTACACAGGTGTGACACAAAGTAAGAAGAAATAGAGGCAAAGGGGAGATCTATACAAATTGGGAGAAATTTTGGGTTGGGGTTGGGGTGGTGCCATTTGAGGCCTTGTGACAAAGGTTCCATATGAGTTGGACTTGGAAGGAAGGGAGAGACCTCATTCTATTGCAAGTATGGACAATAAGAATAAAAAATAGATATAGAAGAAGGCAGGGTAAAAATCAAGAATGAGGAACAGTTGAATTTGGTTGGAATATAGAGTAAAGAAGGGAGCAACATGAAATAAAGCTGGCTAATCAGTCAATTTATAGCCATTTAGTAAGCACTTACCATGTGCCAGGCACTGTGCTGAGCCTAGGACAAAAGTGGAAGACAAGGGTAAAACAAGTTCTACTCCTAAGAAGCTTATATTCGAATGTGGGAGATAAAATGCTACATATATATACATATATATATACATCTACCCTCACACTCTCAACCAGCCTTTACTCACACTGGTAGGTTGGCTTCCTAGAGGGTGACTGTCTGCTTCTCCCCACCAGGGCTCAGGGTACAACCTTGCAAGGGCTGGTAGTTCCTAATACTATTGCTCATGAGCCCCAACCTGGTGTCTTCCACCAATATCAATGAACTGATTGGCATCAATTAGCTTTTACGAAGAGATTTACTGAGCAGTTATAGAAAGAATAGGCGTTAAACCAAGTGGGTGCAGTCTTCTGTAGGGAGAGTGGGCTCAAGCTTAAAGTAGGAAGTTAGTGAGCCACACATACAGGGGACACATGTTGCTGAGGAGTGCCTCAGCCTTCGGAATCCTCCTTGCCATGGAGTCCCCACCAAGTTCACCTCTGGGTGTGGTGTAGCCTGTAGGACTCCAGGCCTGCAGGTCTTGGCTGGTGGGGCCGTCCACTCATCTTTGGGTTGGTTCATGCAGGTTGCCTGACGGCTGCTCTGACTCTTCACTGGACTTGACTGCTGCAGCCCCTGGCTCTGAGGATCCAGCGGGTGTTGGGGTCTTGGATGGCCTCGATGGGTCTCCCAGTCTCACTGGTTGCCTGGGCCCTCCCGTATCCGAGTACAGGAAAGAGTAAACAAAGTGATGAAAATAGAAGTTCTGTGTGTTCATGGGTAGATGGCTCCTGGGCTCTTCCCCTACCTGGAGGCTTATAGGAACTCTCGTTTGAAAGCCAAAAAGGAAGAGAGAGATAGTCAGCTAGCTTCTAAGAAGCACCTCCAATGTTCCAGGCACTGGGTTACAAAGAAAGGTAAAAGATGTTCTCCATTCTCATGGAGCTCACAGCTTAAGGGCGGGGGAGACAACATGCAAATAGCTATGTGCAGACCTACATATATATGAACAAACATGCATACCCAGTAAATTAGAGATCATTTTAGAGTGAAGGCACTGAGATTATAGAGGACTGGGAAAGGCTTCTTGTGGATGGCGAAACTAGTTGAGGCTTGAATGAAGCCAGGGAGGCTACAGGGCCGCGATGAGGAAGGAGAGAGTTCCAGGCATGGGGGATGGCCAGAGAAAAACCTGGGGAGTCAGGAGATGGAGTGTCGTACACCAGGAGCATGAGATCGTTTCTTTGAACTTTGAGCCCTGTGTATTCACACTTAGTTCTGGCTCAGCCATCTTTCTAGCTCCTCAGCTTTTCATCATCAATGTCTCTCATGGCACCATTGTTGCACTTGGTCACAAACTGGCTCCCCAGACTTCCACATGTTGGATTGTTGATAGGCTGCGAATACTTCACATGGTCTGGATAAGGCACTAGGAAAGGTGAATCCACACATGTTCTAAGGGCTCAGCCCTCACCTACTTATTTTTATACACACACACACACACACACACACACACACACATACACACACACATACACACACACACACACATTGGTTGAAGCTAGACTAGAGGGCCTTGAATTACTTACCCTAGATAATTTTTGAGTAGTATGCCATTTGATATACAAACAGCTATCTGTTAAATAAATAAAGCATCATATTTATGAATAAAACTTTCCAAACAGCCTTTTTTAGTCCATCAGTAATGTCCTTGCCATGACCACTGGCCTCTGTCCCCTTAGACCTTCCACAACCCCCCCTCCCCCACATTTGAGGATGTTTCTACAGTAGCCTTGCCTGAACTGAATTCCTAAGATTTTCACTCCAGAAGCTTGAAGAGAGCCCAGAGGTCATTTAACCTGAGCCTCTCATTTTAAAGATGAGAAAACAGAATCCCAGAGAAGTCAAGTGATTTGTCCAAAAACAAGGCTCCCTGTAGCATGGATCAGGGAGCCTGGTACAGCTGCCCGTTCCTCCAGCCTGGCTTGTTGAATGGTGCGTGTACTTGGTGCCCTTTGGGGAGCAGTTCACTGCCCCCAGACTATCCTGGCTCCTTTTGCCCTGCAGGGAGTGATGGGTTTTTCTCGGATGATGAGCCAGACCCGAACGTGCAGATCCTGACAGTGGGTCGGTCTGGCTCCAGTAAGAGCCTGGCAGAGGCAGCAGCTTCCGGAGGGCAGCATTCATCCAAGCAGGACCTCCGTACCACAATGCAAACGAAGGGTGAGTGGCTATGCTGATGGCCAGGATTCAGTCAGTCAATAAACATTAAGTACCTACTATGTGCCAGCCACTATGCTGTGTTCTGGAACTTCAGCTTAGCCTGTATATGAGTGTCTATGTACAAATATATATATATATATATATGTGTGTGTGTGTGTGTGTGTGTGTGTGTGTGTGTATATGTGTATATATATGTGTGTGTGTGTACATATATATATGTATGTGTGTGTGTATATATATATATATATATATATATATATATATACACACATAATGATAAAAGGTGATTTTGGGGGAAAGAGATTAAGCAGCTTTGTTGGGCAGGGGTAGGGGAGAGGTCAGGAAAGCCTTTACATGGAAAGTGATGCTTGAACTGAGCCTTGAAGGAAACTAGTGAAGAGGTCACGTATTCCAGACATGGGGTGCATACAACCAAAGACATGGAGATGAGGGATGGAGTGTCATATAAGAGAAACAGGAAGACATTCAGTTAGGCTGGGCTGTAATGTGTATGAGGTACTATAGTCTGTGTAACAGGGCTGGAAGGTTGGTTAGAGCCAAGTTTTCAAGGAATTTAAATGCTAAAGATAGTTGTTTTTGAGGGGATTCCAAAAGTGTTTATGGTATTAAAGTTTAACACCGCACTAAGACTTTTGGGATACCCTGTACTTAATCCTTGAGGGTAACAGAGAGCCTCTGGAGTTTATATAATGAGCAAGGGATTTACCTGAACAGACTTGCACTTAGTAAAAATCATTGTGTTTGCTGTGTGGAAGACAGGAGAGGGAAGTGATGTGAGGTAGGAAGACCAGTGAGGAAGTTATTAAAGTAGGCCTGTCAAGGGTGATGGCTCTGCAGGAAGAGATATTGTGGAGATAGAAACAGTGCAATTCAGCTCCCATCAGCTCTAGTATTGACAGGATTAGGGAGTGTAGGTGGGAAAGCTGCTGTAATCAGCTGGCCATAGGGTCAGAGATGGACCGCTCCTTAGGATGCGGGGTATGAGCAGGGGCTCATTGACCTGCCACATTGGGGTCCACATCCTTGGCCGGCAGCGTTCCTCTCCATTGGGATTTTCCTCCCTCTCTTGCCTCTTGTCCCCTTGGCCTTGATTTCATGAAGGATGGATGAGAGCCCACTTGGGACAGCAGGAAGGAGGTGATAGGAGAAGAGATGGTGATTTGGAGTCAGACCTAGAAGAACCTCCCCATGGCAATTTCCAGCAAAATTCAGAACCCTTCTCAGTAGCTTTCTCTAGCTCCCAGGCTCTTTATCCACCAATGGCTCATGTGCTATAGTGGAAAGAGACCTAGGCTGGGAGTCAGAACACCTGGGGTCCACTCCAGGCTCTGTAGACCACTGACTTGGGCACCTTGGCCAAGTTCTTAACTTTCTCTGGGCCTTAGTTTCCTCCTCTTTAAAATGAGGAAATTGAATTAGGGGATCCCTAAGGGCTCTCTCAGCTCTGATGCTGTTAAGGTCTCCAGAATTGGATGTTTCCATTCCTTACCAGAGTCCTCAGAACACCTACATAGGTGGAGGCCACCGGATTCATCCCTGGGCCCTAGACTGCATTGAGCTGTGTCCCTTCCTGGGGCGCCAGCTCCTCCTTGGACCTGGCACCAGGGAGCGTAGCATCGTAACTCTTGAGCTGGAAGAGGCCGTCTGGCCCAACTCCTCGTCTCACAGATGAGGACTCAGGCTCTGGAAAGATAAATGATTCACCCAAGGTCACACAAGGCTACTGCCTTGGATGGCTCTCACCCAAAGTGACAGACGTTAGTGGAGGGGTTTGAGCTTTTCTGATTCCAAAGTCATTGTTCCTTCCAATGTGCTGTACTCCTGTCCGTAACTTCTGACTTTTGCTACTTTCTGAATTCCCTTGATTTCTGCTGCCCTCTCCCCCAAACTCAAGGCTACAAGCCTTCTGATTTTCTGGGGTCCCTGAGCCTGCGTTTTCCCTTGGAGTCAGAGAGATTAGCCATTTCGAGTCTCTGGTCACCCGCCCCCCATCCACTTATCCTGCTGTCACCACCACAAGTGAACCCTTGAGTGTGGCCTCCACTTCCCTCTTTCCCTCCTCTTCACCACAAGGGCAGGTGTTCAAGGGTCGGTTGACAAGGGAAAAGACCAAGAACACAAATACTGCGCAAGTGTTCATACAAGAAAATTACCCAGGTTCGGGTGGGATGGCTCTTTCCTTCTAATCTCTTTTACTCCCGCTATGGTCCTGTAGGCCTGGCTTCATCCCCGGAGCACCCAGCTTCCTCATCACTACAAGGGAGAATGGCAGCTTCTGCAGGAGAGTTCCTCTGGGACGGAGGGTGGGATTCATTCCCCTAGGCAGACCCTCCTTCTCCACCCTCAGCCTCCTGGCTACGTTACACGGCCACCATTATTGCTAAGCAATCACCAAGCCAACCAGAGAGTTCCTCTCCCTTGGCCTAGGAAGCAGAGGCTAGAAAGACCCTATCTATACAATTAATTGCTCCTTTCACCCCTACAACAGCCCATAGGGCCCCTCCAATAACATGCACTGGTAAGCCTACCTGATCCTCTTATACTGGTTGCTTGTTTGGCAAGTCACTTAGCCTTGTCTGGGACTCAGTTTCCTCCTCTGTGAAGAATGGGGGAGGTGGTATTTGGACTGGATGGCCTTGAAGCCCCTTTCACCTATGGATTTATGATCCTATGATCCCACCTGGGAGACAGGTAGTAAAGGCAAGTCAGAGACTGGAAAATTGGGTTTATGATAGATACTTGATAGGGTCATCAATCAAGGACTGGAAGTGAACTCAGAAACCACCCAGTTCAACCCTCTTATTTTATGGAGGAGAAAACGAATGCCCAGGGACGCTAAGTGAATTGCTTATAGTCACACTGGTAGTAAGCAGAGGCAGGATTTGAACCCAAGGCCTCTGAATTCAAAGCCAATTTTCTTTCTGTCAAAGGCAGGATTTGAATTCAGGTCTTAGTCTAGAGCCAGTGCTATTTCCATTGTACTATGCTTCCTCCTAAGGAGACAGTGGGCAGGGAAAGGACCAGGGCCAGTGGCCAAGGTGGGGAAGAGCCCAGAATGTCTAGAGATAGACCTTTCTTCCTTCAAATCAAATCAGTCCACTCAACTCCATGTTCCTTTTCACTGTGCCCTCTACCCGCTTTGCAGGCATCTCCAGCAGCATGAACTTTGACGAAGAAGAGGAGGAAGAGGATGAAGAAGATGATGAAGAGGACAGCTCCAGCTCTTCTCAGTTAAACACCAATGCCCGGCCAGGCTCCGCCACCAGCAAGAAGTCGAATAAGGTAGGGAGCCTTCAGCTGCACTAATTCAGGGCAGAAAAATGGCAGTAAGCTGTGGACAGAATTTCTTTACCATCATAAGGCCATGCAGACATCAGAGTTCGTGACATTTCAGGGGTGGGCAGGAGTAGCCAACAAGTATGGTGAATTGTAGTTGTGAATGTTGGAGAATTAGGCTGAAGCTTAAATGCCAAGCTGAGGAATTTGAGTTTATATGAGTCACAGAAATGGCTCACCAGAGGTCATAGCTGGCCAAATGACTCAGACCCTGAGATAAGGGGGGTGGGGGAGTTTCTGATCCTAGAGATCCTTTTAAAAAAAAATCATTTTTATTGATGGCACATTCCACCTCCACTTTCATATTGAACCTTTCCTTTTGACAAAAATAATTAAGCAAAAGCCACATCTTTTTGGATTCTGTTTCTGTCATTCAGTGTTTTTTTTTTAAATCACCTGTACATTTTACAAGCATTATCCAAGAGTCTGTGATCCATTGATTAAAAATGGTAAATAGTATAGGATCAAGGACAAATCCCTGAGGCCTTTCACTAAAGATTCCTTTACAAGTTGATATTAGTCTCTTAATGACTATTCTTTGGGTCTAGACATTCAACAAGTTTAAAATCAGTTAACTGTACTATCATTTAACTCACATTTTCCCGTAATTCCTACCAAAATAGTACGAGAGACTGTCAAATGCTTTGCTAAACTTTAGGCAAGCTACATCTGTAACATTTCCCTGATCTACCACTTTGGTGACCCTCCCTAGAAAAGAACCTTATTCAGGCATGAGTATTTTTATTTAATAGAGCCATGTTGGATTTTGTAATCACTGCTTCCTTTTTGAGATCTTTATTAGCCTTCCCTTTAATAGCACACCCTAGAATTTTGCCAGAAATTAAATTCAAGTACACTGATCTACAGTTTGCAGGCTCCAATTTCTTCCTTTTTTGAAAATTGGGACATTTTTCCTTCTCTAGTCTCATGCCACCTCTCCCAATCCCTGACTACCTTTAAAAAAAAATCACTGATAGGTTCACCAATTCCATCCACCAGCTCTTTTCATTCCTGAGATTATAGTTCATTTAGACCAGGTGATTTGACCTCATCCAGGGCAGCCAGGTGCCTGCTTAGTAAAGTCTGAACCTTTGGCCTGCCACTGGCCCTTCGCCGTCTGGTTTCTTTCTAGCCTCATTTCACATTACTTTCATTTTGCAAAATTGGAATAAACTCTATACCCTGAATATGCTCCTGCTTCTGTATCTGTTCACCCTGTTCCCTACATGTAGCATATCTTCCCTCCTGTTTGGCTTGTTGAATTCTTACCCATCCTTTATAGCCCAACTAAATTCCATCTCCTGCCCCACCCCTGGTCACTCCTAATGGCTAATGATCTTTACCCTCTGACTTCACATGGCACTTGTTTCTTTTAACTTTCTAATATCTTTATCATGTAATATTATATATTGTAGCGATTTATATTTTCTTATTCCTCCAATAAAAGCCCTTTGAGGGTAGGGACCTTGTCTTATCTAAATTTTGTCTCCCTCCTAGGGTCCAGCAGGGTACACATAGTTAGATTTTTAATAAATCTCGATTGTGGCCTTGAGAACCATGGTCAAATCCAGGTGATTCTGATGCTAACTTGATAGTTGTGTGGCCATGTGCAAGGCCCTTAACTTCTCTGAGCCCCAGGTTTTTTCATTGTAAAAGGTGGATATGTTTTAGTACCTATCTCAGTGGGTTTCTTTTGAGGCTCAAATGTGCTTTGTATAGTTTAAAGCTCTATGTAAATGTCATCCTCATCGTCATCCTTATCATTGAATGAAGAAATAGAAGAGAGAGAGATGATAGCTTGAGGGGTCACCAGATTAAAAGGAAGTTTATTTTAGAATAGAGGAGACCTGAATATATTTGAAGGGAGAGGAAACGGAGCCGCTGGGGAGTGAGAGATTGTAAACAGCGTTGGTTTGGGAGTTGGGAGACCTGAATTCAAATTCTAGCCCCAATACTTAATAACTGTGTGGCCTGTTTTCCCTCTCTGACCTCAGTTTCTTCATCTGTAAGATCAGAAGAAAAGTACCATCTCTCTCTTTCTCTCTCCATCTATTTATCTATCTATCCATCTATCCATCCACCCATCCATCTATCCATCCATCCATCCATCTATCTATCTAGGCTAGGTCTGCCTATGTCACCCAGGCTGGAAGGGTGGTGGCCACTGAGGGGCTTAACCCCACTACTTACCAGCATGGGAGTTTTAACCTACGCTGTTTTTCTGACCTGGGCTGGTTTGCCCTTTGTGAGGCTGCCTGGTAGCCCCCAGCTCCCAGTTGGTACCAGACTCAGCATGGACACCTGATCAGCTTTAGCCCCTCTTCGGCTTGGAATTTCCAAATTAAAGCAGTCCACCAGCTTTAGCTTCCCCTACTAGCATGTACCACCATCATATCTGACAAAAATAGCGTCATCACTCCCTACCTCATAGGGTGCCAAGAGGAAGGTGCTATAGGATAAGCTATTGTCATCCTCCTCCTCCTCCTCATCATCATTACTACTACTACTACAACTTTTGAGGATGAAAGCGTGGGGCATGAGTAGTGACCAAGGTACAAGGTGAAGGGGATAGCCTTGGCAAAGATGAGGGCCACCCTTCCTCTGTGACAGGAGGGAAGGGTGAAAGGAAGAGGGAAGTCACTTTGAGGAGAGGAGAGGTGTCCAGGGAACTTACTTTAAATGACCTTGATCTTCTCAGGAGAGCAGGAGATAAGGCCTTCTGCCTGGGTGTGGAAGGGGAGGTGGGTGGAAGATGATGCGGGGGAAGTCTAGAAAACATCTCCTAGGGTCAGGTGCCCTTCCTTGTTTCCCATGCTGCCTATGCCTTCCAGGAGATGGCCTCGGCCCCCAGCCCCTCAGCCCAGGCACCGCTCATCGAGGTGGAGGACCTGGAGGAGTTTGCGCTCCGGCCAGCCCCACAGGGCATCACCATCAAGTGCCGCATCACGCGGGACAAGAAGGGGATGGACCGAGGAATGTACCCCACCTACTATCTGCACATGGAACGGGAGGACGGGAAAAAGGTCATCCAACCGCTTCAGGCTTTGCTAGCTTTGTCCTGGGACTGAGAGACCGTCAGACCCCCTCTCCCTTCACCCTGGTGCCAGGAGACCATTATTTGTCCCTTTCTGGGGCCAAGGAACACCAGCCTGACTTCCCAGAGCAGGAAGCCATCACTTATCCCACCCTTCTCCCCTTCATTTGATTTCTTGCCGGGGTCAAGGAATATCAGTCCCTCCTTTATGCTTTTCCTGGGTCTAGGGAACCATCAGTGGTCTTTTCCTCGGTCCCATTCCTTTTCTCCTGGTCCGTCATTCCATCTTCCCCACCCTAGGTTATTGAGGGTTAGAATACAAAGAATCCAGGACCCAGGACCTGGGTCGTTCTGCCATGTGTTTACTTTCTCAGAAATCCCTTCCACTTTTACTCCTCAGCCTCATTGCCCTGCCAATGCTTGGTGTCTGTTTCTGAGCTGAGTACCTCTTTCCCTCATGCATTACGTTCCCAATGTCCTGATGGTCCAGCTTCTCACCCTCAGGTTCCCAAGGCAGGAGGCTTTCTGTCCCTGGAGAGGGAAGCGAGGGGTCACTATATCCCCTGTCTCAGACGTGGGCCCCCAACCCAGAATGGCCAGTGCACCATCTCTGCCTGCGTAAACGCAGGCACATATGCAAGTGTGAGCATGGGTTGGGGAGCGTTTCATGGTACACAGCTCTGTGTGCACAGGTGAGAGCACAGAGGTGTATATATGTGCAGCCAGGTAGGGGATGGATCATCGTGTTGTGCCCGTAGGTATTCCTCCTCGCTGGAAGGAAGAGGAAGAAGAGTAAAACATCTAATTACCTCATCTCTGTAGACCCGACAGACTTATCCCGAGGAGGAGAGAGCTTTGTGGGGAAACTCCGGTAACGCTGGGGCCCCAAAGGGAACACTACAGACCCCTCCAACCACAAGTGCCCTCCCCACACCAGGGCTGGCCTGGGCCCCTCCACTTCGCCTTGTGGGAAACCTCTGTCTTGACAGATTCTCCGCTTTATGACCCTGTGTCATAACTATTCTGCAAATAAACCTTTCCCCTAAATTGTACAGCTTACAATGTCAGAGTTGGGAGGGACTTAGAGTTCCATATACTAATGAAATTATAGGCCCAGTCCAAGAGAAAACTGTACTACCCATCTCATACAGTTTGGAGGAGGAAAGGGCTTTGTGAACCCTAGAGCACAGTTGAAATGTGAGCCATCCTAAATGATGGCACTTGATAAATGTCAGCTCTGTATGTTTGTCTTGCTAAATGCTCAGCTCCCTAAGGGCAGAAACTGTTTATTCGTCCTTGTTCCTTATTATCATCCCTATTTTCCCAGTGAGGAAACTGAGGCTTGATAATGGTTAAAAGACTTGCCTAAGATCTCTTACTATGTGGCAAAGCTGGGATTCGAATCCAGGTCTTCTGATTCTACTACATGGGATTTGCCAAAAGGTTCATGATGAGTTAGTGATGGAATTAGGACTAGAATTTAGGTCTGTTCTCCATCGTCCTTTTCCCTCCCCTAACCACTCAGTTATACCATCTACTATGGGTGCAAGAAAAAGGCTTGCCCTGGTATCTAAGAAAGCTTGACTCACAGTCATTCTTACCAAGGTTTAGGCCCTTGGTTGTCCCTTCTTTCCTGGAGACCAAAGGCCTTGTTCCAAGAGGCTCTGACCATTGTTACCATCAGGGAGCGAAAACCTGCCCAGACTCACAGCATGTGGCCTGTCCTGCCTGGCAGAGACTCTGAGCCTGGCTCTTTGACTGGAGAGATGGATGAGCTCCATGTCCTTACTGGCTAGATCTTAGGGTCATAAAGTCATATCATCCAGCTCTCTCATTTTCCTCATCAGTAAAATAGGGAGCTTAAATGTCTCATCCAATATTGTAGGGGTACTGAGTGGCAGATGTAGGGTTTGAATCTGGGTCCTCCCAACACCAAATTCAGTACTCTTTCCACTTTATCCAAGATGGTAGTGGAGATTCAGAAGACCCAGGTTCTGCCCCTGGCTCTGCCATCATTTTCATGTATGACCTTGGATAAATTGCTTTCTCTCTTTGGGCATGTTTCCTTTTCTGTGAAATGAGGGGTTTGGGTACCTGTGGGATCATGGACAAGTTATTTAACTTCCCTGGGCCTTGGTTTCCTCATCTGTAAAATGGGAAGGTTGGTCTAGATTGCCTCTGAGATTTCTTCCAGCTCTAGATGTAGGATCCTTTAATCACATGTGGAGATCCAAGACCTTTTTTTTTTTTTAATGTCAAAAGTTGATCCTCATGTTTGAAAAGGTTGGGAACCACTGGGCTACAGATGATTTTTCAGAGCCCTCCCAGTTCTGACATTCAATGTTCTTGGGTCTCTTGTTTCTGATACTCTGTGTTGTATCTTAAAAGATATTTTCTAGGTCTGAGTTGTTTGAAGTCCTTTCTAAAGCAAACGTTCTCTTCTTTGATCCAAGTTACTTTCAAGGGCTAATGTTTAATGGTCTAAAAGTTCTCAAACCTCTCCCAGTCTGTAGCTCTGATATCCATTGCTCTCTGACTTATAGGTCAAACCTCATGGGAACGAAGTTCACCGTGTATAACAATGGAGTCAACCCAATGAAGACATCATCATCAAATTTGGAAGGTGCAAATATAAGGCAGGAGCTGGCTGCCATTTGCTATGTGAGTCGTGGGGGTGTAGAGGGGAGAGGCAGGGGGTCGAGGCCAGAGACTGTGTCCAAACCAGGATACTTTACTGTTTTCTTGGGGCTCAAGTCTGTTGGCCATCTCCATCTATCCATCCATCCATTCAGTTGACCAAAACTGGGAGTTGTTAACATAGAGATAATTAAGTCCATAGGAGATGATGAGATTACTGGGAGAAAAGGAAAGAGAGCTCAGGACAGAACCCTGAGGTACACTTACAGTTAGGAGGACAGGATATGGATATATCCATCAGAGGAGACTGAGACAGAGCAGTCAGGCAGGAAGAAAACCAAGAGAGTACATTGTCATGAAAACTCAGGAGAGAGTATCCAAGAGAAAGTGGTTAGCAGTGTCTAATGCTGCAGAGAGGTCAAGAAGGATGAAGATGGAGGCGGAGCCATTACATTTGACAGCTAAGAGAACACTGGAAATTTGGGGGTGAGCAGTTTCATTTGCAGGATGAGGTTAGAATTCGGATTGCAGAAGGTTTAAAAATGAGTGAGAGAACAGGAAGAGGAAACAATGAATTTAGGTATCTTTTTTCTGGGAGTGGCTATGAAAGGGGAAAAACCTCTGTTTCAATTAATTTTTTCTTTCAGTCTCTGAGATTCTCTAAGTAAAACATCATAACATCTATAAAAAGAGGTATTTTCCTCCCCTTTGCCTATGCTTATTCCCTCAATTTCTTTTTCTTTTCTTATTGCTACTTTTAGAACTGTATCAAATAATACCAGTGACAGTGGACATCCTTGTTTTACCCCAGATTTTTTTAGAAAAGTTTCTAGTGTGCCTTTGTTATAAATTATGCTGGTCCCTAGTTTTATGTAGATATTGTTTATTATATTAAGTAAATGTCCATTTGTTCCTATGGTTTTTAATGTTTTTTAATGTGAGTACTGTATTTTAAGGCTTTTTCTTCATCTGTTGGTATAGTTTATGATTGCGATATATTATATTTATAGCTTTCCTAATAATTGAACCAACTCTGCATTCCTGATATAAATACAAACTATTTGAAGTAACTAGTTTTTTTAAATATATTGCTGTAATTTCTCTACTACTATTTTATTCATTATGCTTATATCAATATTCATTATAATACTTTGCATCAATATTCATTAGTGACATTGGTGTATAGTTTGTTTTTTTCTGATTTATTTATCTATGGTTTAGGTATCAGGCCTACACTTGTCTCATGTAACTAGTTTGGCAAAATGTTTTTTGTCTTTCTCCTTGCAAACAGTTCATGAAATTTAGGGGTAATTATTCTTCAAATGGATGCTATTTTGATGGAATTCACATATAAGTCCATCTGGGTATGAAGTTTTTTTCCTTTGGGAATTCCTTTATGGTTTGTTCAGTTTCTATTTCTGAGATTGGGTTTTTTAGATTCTCTGTTTTATATTCTGTTAAGCTGAGCATTTTATCTATTTGTAAATATTCACCCACTTTGTTTCAGTTTTCAGTTTCAGGGGAGCATATATTTGAGTGAAATAGTTTTTGCTGGTTTCCTTTAATTTCTTTTTATTTTTTGTTAATTACCTCTTTTTATTTTTGACCTTGGTAATTTAGTTTTCCTCTCTCTTTTGTTATTGAATTAGCTATTTTCCCCCCATTTTATTGGTCTTTAAAAACAGCTTGTAATTTTATTTACCATTATAATAGTATTTGTACTTTCAATTTAATCTCTTGAATTCCCAGAATTTAAATTTTTATGTCTAGTTGGGGAGGGTTATTAATTTGTTCGTTTTCTAGATTTTTTTATTTGCATGCTAAATTCACTGGTTTTTAGCTCTTTGTTGATGTAAGTATTCAAAGTTATGAAATTTCCCCTAGAAACTATTTTGGCTATATTATATCATTTGTAGTTTGTTGTTTCATTTCTATAGTTTTCTTTGATATAATTATTTATTTCTATAATTTATTCTTTGACCCACTTATTCTTTAGGACTGCATTATTTCTGTATGAATCTTTTTTTCAGACTTCCCTTATTGATTGTAATTTTAATTGTTATTAAGTATTTTTGCCTTTCTGCATTTGTTTATGAGATCTTTATGCCTTTTTACAGTAATTTTTGTACAGATATCAATAAAACTGAAAATATATACATATACATATGTATGTGTATGTATATATACATACATATATATGTATACATATACTTCTGATGCTTGCTACTCAGCAACCATCAAAAATCTATTGTATCCAACTTTTCCAATATTTTATTCAGCTCCTTAATGTCCTTCCTGTCTATTTTTCCTTGTAATTTGTCTATGTCTAAAACGAGCACACTGAAAACACTGATGATTATTGTTTTTCTCTCTAGTTCTCCCTATAGTTCAGCTAGCTTTTCATTTAAGTTCTTAGATATTATACCATTTAGTGCATACATAATTAATATTGATAGTTTCATTATCTCTGGTACCTTTAAGTATAATATAGCTTAACTTATCTTTCTTAATTATGTCCATTTTTACCTCTTTTCTTTCCTGAGATTATGCTTACCACTCTTGGGTTTTTTAGATTCAACTGAGGCATAACAGATCCAATGACAACCTTTCATTTTAGCCCTGATCGAATTCTTATCTTAAGGATCTTTTTTATAAGCACAAATTGTTGGGTTTTGTTTTCTTCCAACCCATTTTGCCACTCTCTTCCACTTCATGGGCAATTTAAGTCCTTTCATCTTTACAACTGTGATAATTAGGTTTGTTTTTTCCTGCATTATGTTCTATTATAATGTTTCCTCTCTTTGCCAACCACCCCTTTCTTTAGAAGGAAAAAGAAAGGTATAAAAAGAGAATGAAATTAAGACTAGTCACCTATAATTAGAATAGTTTGATTTCACTTTTTTTTCTCTTCTCTCTATACAGCCTAGATCCCGATGGCTGGGTTTTACCACTTCTTCCCTTTCTTTTTTTCCTTTTCATAATTAGCCCTCTGTAGTTGAAGTTTGTTTTGTTTTTGACTATTTCCTCACCAACTCTACTTTCTTAAGTATCATTATTTTTATACTAAACTAGTTCCCTATTTATCTTATTGTATTTTTACACATTACTGTTTCCACCCCTCACCCTGAGCTTAAATGCAATTGAGATCCATGAGATCCTCATCTCCTCCACCCCTCCAATTACATGTTTGTATAGTCTTTCCTTGTGGCTCTCAAATTACATCAAACAGTAATTTTCTTTCTTTTTCTCCCATTACATCCCTAGACCATTCCTTTTTTTTCCCCTCCTCTCTTTTTTGAAAAAGAAAAAAAAATACTCAGGCCCTGAGTTTGTCTCCCCACTCCAAACCTCATTGATCCTTAGAGATACTGGGCTTCTGAAGAGGCAATAGTTTTTCTTTCTCTTTCAGAATGCAAACAGTTGATCATCATTTTATCCTTTCAGGTTACTCAAACTTGTTTATCTTTCTAGAGTTTTCTTGACTCCTGTATTTACATTTCAAGGATTTCACTCAGCTCTGATCCTCACAGCAAGAATGTTTGGAAGTAATGGATATTCTATTATAAGTCTGCCTTTTCCTGATGGGTGGAAGCTTGGTTTTAAATGATGTTATTTGCATACACAGACCTTTTTCTTTTGTTTCTGGATATAATATTCCAATCTTGTGTTACTCATTTCTGCTCACTGATCTTACGTGGTTCTGAGGTATATGATATGTCTCTTCCTGAATTTCCTGAAGAATTTTTTATTTCTCTTAGAAATGCTGAAGTTTGACAATAACATTTCTAGAGAACTAAATTTGGGGTTTGTTTCAAGTAATGACTATTGGATTCTGGGTCCCCCCAACATACCTTACCCTATAGCTCTGGGCTGTTTTGTTCTATGACATCTTAAAAATATAGTATCCAAGTTTTGTGCTTCATTCATTATTTTCTGGGGATTCCAGTGATTCTTAATTTTTTTCCTGTTATTGAATTTTCCATGTCATTTTTTTAATGTTGTAGATGTCTTGTAGGTTCTTCCAATTTTTTGGTCTTTGGATTTTGCTCTGATATTTCTTGTTGTATCATTTACTTTTTGAATTCTGTTCCCTATATTCTATTTTTTTTTAAAGGGGAACCACTTTCATGATAAAGTTTTCTGGCTTCTACTGTTTATAATCCTTCCAATTTTTCCTCGAGAGCTCATTTTGACTTACTTCTGACTTTATCTTTTCCTTTATTTCTTTTCATAAGCCTTCAGTTCATTCTTGACATCCCTGTTATCAATCTATTCTCTTTTCTGGCATTCATTCTTATAATTATTATACTATATATTATAATTGAATTATATTTTTCTAAAGTTTTATCCATGGGTTCTCTTAACCCATAGTGTTTCTTCATCGTATTTGGAGTTTTCTTAAGTTAATTTCTCCAAAAGGGATTAGCCATCCTCTTGCTGCTTCTTATTTAACTCTACAATTGCTGGCATTAATGTTACATAAATCCCTGAGGATAGGGCTGGTGTGGGAGTAAAGAGTTGTTAGCAGCCACATGGAGCTCTCAGTTCACAATATGAACTAGGTAGTTAGAAAACCCAGCTGATAGTAGTTTTTGGACCCTCTGCAAAGCCTGTAATGGGGCAGGTCCCAGGCTGGGTGATCATGGCCCAAGAAGCATGGTTGGAGAAAGGCGATAAGTTCCAGAATAGTTGCTGATCCCAGTGATAGAGAGTGCTGAGGGACACAATTCCAGTAGGGTAGGTGTTGAGTGGGAAGATTATGGCAATCACAGGGTACAGTCCTGAGCAGAGTAGGTGCCACTCCAGGTGATCATGGCCCCTGGAGAGCACAGTCTTGTCTGGGGAGTCAACAAACCAGGCAACTGTGGTCACTAAGAAAGCAGAGTCCCAGGTGGGCAGAGTTTAGAACCGGCCACTTTGAGCCACTGAGGGGCACAGACCAAGATGAAAGCTCTCAGTCAGGTGATGGTGGCTCCCCTCTTATGTATCTGCAGGGGCTGAGGGGCACAGTCCTGAATCCTTCCCCCTGGGCTTTGGATCAGAGTGAGTCTGGCAGGGGCAAGTAATAGTCCCCCCCCTTCTCCCCTATTTCTTCTGCTCTTTGCCATGAAGATTCTTTTCATTTATCTCTCTTTATTGAATCTTTTTATTTGTTTCATTTGGTGCACTTTCTTCCTCATGTGATGGTTTTAGAGGGAATTGGGTTTGTCTGGAACCATTTCATGTCGTCCTCTTCACATGAAGTCCCAGGAGCTGTTTCTTGAATACAGCCCAGCACGGGACAAAGTACACAGTAGACACTGTCAAGGCTTGTTAGTTGGACAACTGAATAACTGATCTCAGGGAGTGACCACGTCTGGGACTTGAGCCCATTCCAACTGTTGTTAGAGGAAGGAAAGCCCTTGCCTATGGGAAGGCCAGGAGGCCGGGTCCCCTTGATTTTTCTGTGCGTGGGATTTGGGGGAGGGTGCAGGAAAGAGAGGATGGGGGGAACCTAGATCTGAGTGCACCTGTGACATGTGGTGCTGGTGCTGGTGGTGGGGGTGGGTTTTGTAGAGTGAGGGCACTGGACGGATGGATAGATGGACTTGCCTGACTTGTGTCTTTTCTATAAGGGCCAGAGACCCTTCTGAGTACATAGGAGACTATGCCCCTAGTTTTCTCCAAGGAACAAGGAACTCCCCACCTCAGAAGTGTGTCTGTGTATCCCTATCCAGATTTAAGAGATGGGGATGTGCCATTCAGTCTAGCTGCATTGACCTGTTCTCTCTTTTGAAATTTCTAGGAGACTAATGTCTTGGGATTTAAGGGCCCTCGGAAAATGAGCGTGATCATCCCTGGCATGAGCATGGTGCACGAGAGGGTCTCCATCCGGCCTCGAAATGTGAGTCAGTCCTCCCCTTCTCTCAAGTGGACAGTGGGCAGTCTATTTCTTGCAGTTCCTTTGGGTTGCTGAAACACACGGGGGAGAGGAGGAGAGGGGAAGAAGACAAGAAATAGGCTCTGAATAGGGAAGAACGATTCTGAATCTCAGCATTGGTAGGGACCTCAGAAACCATCTAATCCAAACTGTCCAAAGACAGAGAGCCAATGAGGACTCTTCAAGCCTCTGTAGGAAGACCTCTAGTGATGGCAGAACCCATTACCACCCAAAGCAGCCCATTCTACATTTGGACACTGGGACTCACTAGGAAATTTGTCCTTCCATATATCGAGTCCAAATCTGCCTCTCTTCACATTATACCCATCGTTCCTAGTTACGCCCATTAGGGCTGAGCAGAACAAATCCGTTCCCTCTAATACTTAATAGTCCTTCTGAAACATGGAAGTAGCTGTCATGTCCCCTCTTAGTCGTCTCTCGAGGCTAAATGTTCCAAGTTCCTTCAACCAATCCTGATAGGCCATGGTCTCTAGTCCTAGTTGTACCTTTGGAGGCATGCTCCAGCTGGTTAGTGTCTTTTGTAAAGTGTGGCACCCACAATGTAATGAAGCAGGTATAGCCTGGCCAGAGCAGAACATGTTAATGATTGGCCGTGATCTGGACCTCTGCCATGCCTGGTGCAGTCTCTGATTGTATTATCTTTTCTAGGTGTTATGATGTCTTCCTGTTGACTTATATTGAGCTTGTAGTCCATTAATCCTGCCCCCTTTTTAAAACTGACATTTTCCTTTATCTTGTATTACCTCCCTCTCCTGTCCTCAAAGTGCCTTCTTCCTGTTAGCCTGAGCAGGGCTTTCTTTCCTGCCTTCCATTTTCCTCTAGCCATCAAAATGGCAGCTTTTCCTTGTCCTCGGTATTCACTGCCAGCTTCAGTTCATCCTGAATTTTAGCATTTCCTGATGCTGTTCTTCTAGGACTATACCCCTTCTGTGCTCATCCTCCATTGCCTATCTTGCTTCTTGTGAAAAATCTGAGCACCAAATCTGAAGACCAACATTTTTGTTTGCCCTTTTGTTCTGTGATATCAGTAATTTCAACGCCTCTGTGGTCATTTTCCTTAAGTGCTCCTCTTTTGAGGCTAACAGACCCTGCCCAGTCTGTGGAGCCTTTCCCCCTTCCCTCAGCCCACTCAGTAATATATTCCTGAATTGCTTCTTAGGGGGTTGCAGAATCTAGGAATCATGTCCAACATCTCCCTTGACCTAAATCACCTTTTCTGTCTCCTGTTCCCGATCCCTTGTGCCAGAGGCTCCCTTCCCCATCTCATCTTTTTTCCCTCTTCCCCGCTGTCCTCACTATTTCTCTGTCCCATAGACCTCTCCTCCACTCCATTTGGATTTCCCATTTTCACTCCTCCTATTCCCCCACACAGCTTCCCTGCTGTAATCTACCCCCATCCCCATTCATTCCCCTGGCCTATCCTGCTTCTCAGTTTCTTCCCATCTTTTAGAAAATACCTCCCAGTACCTTTCCCTCCTTCAGGCAAGTCCTGTTCTTGCTCACTCAGGAGCAGGAGACGTTGCTGGCTCGGTGGCTAAGCAAGAGTACGGACACCGTCATTGAGCTACACAACAAGACGCCGGTGTGGAATGATGACACCCAGTCCTATGTGCTCAACTTCCACGGGCGTGTCACGCAGGCCTCCGTCAAGAATTTCCAGATCATCCATGCAAATGACCGTGAGTACTCTTGTGGGAGAGGAACTCTCTGAGACAAAGGGGCATCTCCTGGGGGGAAGGGGCGCATATGGTGGGAGGAAAAGGGGCATCTTGCATAGTTTGGCTCAAGTCAGAGGACACAGGGTTCATTGGAAGAGACTCAGGCTAGTAGATACAAAGGTTACCTTGAGCCCCTGGAAGAGATAATAGTTAAGTAACCATCACAGCATCACGGAGCTGGAATAGATCTCAGAGGGCATCCGGTCCCTCCCAGACTTGAGCTGGAATCTCCTCTATGACACTGTTGAACAATGTCCACTTGGAGACTCCCAGCAATGGGCCTCCATTGTACCTTGAGACAGCGCTGAGTGTTAGTACGTTGTTCCTTTCATTCAGCCAAAATCCGCCACCAAAAACGCCATTCTTTGGTCCTTGAGCTGCCTCCTGGGGCCACGCAGAAGTCCATTTCCTCGCTCCCATGAGTCATTCAAATGCTGGACAGCTTTCATGTCCCTGCTAAGTCTGTTCTTCACACCAGATATCCCTAGCTCTTTTCATTGATCCCTATATGGCAAAGACTCCAATTGCTCATCATCTTGGACTCTCTCCAGTTTGTCAGTCTTCTTCCTAAAATATGGCCCCCAGAGGTGGTCCACGTAGAGCGTAGGCCTGCCTGCCACATCCTTCATTTTGAGCACTATTTGCTAAAGCTATTTTTAATCCCTAGTGATTTTTCTGGCTTCTAAGTCAAACATGCAGTTGACTGAAAAATTGAGCTTGCAGTTTACCAAAGCTCTAAGTGTTTTCCAAATGAAATGATCTAATCACACCTCTCCTATCTTGTACTCGTGCAATTGATTTTTTGAACCCAAATGCAGGATTTTACTTTTATTTGAATTAAATTTCTTCACTAAAAATGGGGACCAAGATGAAATTTTCAGCTACCTTCCCATCTGCTTACTTACTCAAGAATGGCTGATATGTGCATCTTAAGTATCCTTTATGAAAATGTAAGAATGGAATAGGCAGAATTTTGAAGATGATTTTCCATTATTTTCCAAAATCATTTTCCATGATTTACAAGCACACGGCTGAATAAGTGACCTGGAGGATATAAGATTGCGCTATATCTGTTTGTTCTTTTAAAAAAGCCCAAAGATTGGATTCGATAGAACAAAATGGAGCCTGGAGAAGTCTTCTTAAAAAAAGTGTTTCACATATTGTTGATCTCCTGAGTGTGAACATTAAGTGATACCAAACAGGGAGATATATGTTCTCCTTAGCTTCTTTTCCTGTTGTTGAGGAATAGCTCTTATACTGACTCCAAACAGAAGAATTCCTTATCGATGGTAGGGTTCTCCAAATGCTCCTATTTACAGATTAAACTGTACTAATGACATTGAACCCAGAAGACTAATGAAAGACTCATGAAATGAACAGTCATTTAAAAGTGATTTATTTAACCATCTTTATTGGAAAAACAAAATGGATGAAAAATGCTTATTACCCAGATTGACATGCAGGTAGGATGGTCTACCAAAGTAGCCCATCATCAATATGTTTATTTTTAGATTTTCACACCTTTTTTAATTAATGCTTATTTTTTCATTATATTATTTAGTCTTTTTTTTTCCTTTTTTGGTGAGGCAGTCGAGGTTAAGTGACTTGCCCAGGGTCACACAGCTATTAAGTGTCAAGTGTCTGAGGTCAGGTCTTCCTGACTACAAGGCCGGAGCTTTATCCACTGCGTCACCTAGCTGCCCCTATTTAGTCTTTTCCTAGTAATTACCTGACCTCTCCTCCTCTCCCCTCAATTAAAAACCTTCTTTGGAATAAAGAAGCATCAGTAGGCAAAGCAAGTCAGAACCCTGGCCACATCTGACAGCATCTCATTTCTTAGCCACCATCCACCCCAACTTTGCCAATATGAGCGGGCTGTGCTTCCTCGTTAGTCCTCTGGAGTCAAGACTGGTCCCTGCACTGATGATTTTTCAGTGTAGTTTTCATGACATTATCATGATCATTTTATAGATGGTGCACCTAGTTTCACCTACATTTATCGGTACTCCAAATGGGCAGTAGGATGGGACGAGGACTGAATTTTGGACTTGATCACCTTTGAAAAAATTATGAATGAAAAATCTGCAATGATTCCAAGCTGTTTGTTATCACAACCATCTATCTCCTCAATACCTGTATTTTTTTTTTTTTTTGGCTAGGCAGTGGGGTTATGTGACTTGCTTAGGGTCACACAGCTAGTAAGTGTCAAGTGTCTGAGGCTGGATTTGAACTCAGGTCCTCCTGACTCCAGGGCTGGTGCTCTATCCACTGCACCGCTCAGCCACCCCACAACACCAGTATTTTTCTGGTGATGCCAGATGATGGTAAATTTGGGAAACACCATTATCTTGGAAGAATTAACATGATCAGTAACCCAAAGGTCAAAGAAGGGATTCATGGTGGGAATAAGCAGGGTGCAGGATGGTTCCCAATCCCTCACATGTGAGAATTAGCATAAAAGTGATCATAGCCTACATGTGAGCCTGGGAAAGGAGGCAGGCCAGCCAGCCACATGTCCAGAGTGAGAGCTAACCATAGGACCAGTATGAATGCTGCCTTGGTGTTCTCTCAAGATAGGAGAGGGTCCCAGGGAGACCTCAAAAAAAGGTACATGATCCATGAAGGGCTTCTGGAAAGACATGGCCAAGTGAGCAGATTAGGAGGGACTGTGGGCACCTATGGATGGAGTACCCATATTGAAGACATCACTAATCCATCCATCAATCAAAAAGCATTTATTAAGCTCCTATTATATGCCAAATGCTAATCCATCCAAGTGTTTTAATAGATTTCATCTTGGTAGTTTCAGTCTGTCCTTTTTCAGATGTCATTTCGATCATCTGTCCCTCCCATCTTCATGCCATTCACATGTTTGATCATCACACACACCATATATCCCTTTCTCCAAGTGACTGATAAAGTTGTTGAATAGTGTAGAGCCAAGAACAGGGCCCTGGGGCACTCTACAAGTGGGTCCTCTTCTGGGGAAGCGATGTGGTCTTTCCCTGAGGGATGCCTTTACAGCCAAGATTGTCCTCAGGCCCGGGCTGCAGCTGACTTCTGGCACAGAGACACTGGCCAGCCTGTCCTACAGAGTCACAGTTTGGGAGCAAATGAGCTGTCTCTTTGAGTATTGTGGGCATTTAGATGCCCTCACTGTGAAAAAATGGGCAGAGGGACCCCCAGATAGGGCCTGTGGCAAGCCAGACCTTGGTATGGGTGTGATCAGTGACTGACTAGGGTCTTAGAACAATGGCTTCGGGGTTTAACTGAGGCTCACCGGGAGAACCCTAATCCTGAGAGTCTGGCTCCCCATATCTCTTTCTATCTGTGGCTCTGCCTCAGCTATGGGCTTGGGATGGGTGGGCCGGGTACAGAGCCCCCAGGAACTGGGACTTACTTTGCAACACTCTGTCTCTTCCCTCCCCTTGGTCTCTGGCTCTCTGCCTCTCCCTGTGGTTCACTCTGGCAATTTTTCCATCTCTGCCTTTCCCCTTGGTTCTGTATCTGCCTCTTCTGTCTGTGGCCCGCTGTCTGCCTCTCTGTTTTCTTGCGGCTATCTCTCACCCTTTCCCTGTGTCCTTTCCCCACGCTGTCTCCCTCTGCATGGCACTGTCTCCTTCTGCCTCTCTGCACCCGTCGCTCACCATGTCTCTGTGCCTGGCTGTGTATCTGCCTCTTGGGGGGTGTCTGGGTCCCTCCCTAGCTGACTACATCGTGATGCAGTTTGGCCGGGTGGCAGAGGACGTGTTCACCATGGATTACAACTACCCGATGTGCGTCCTGCAGGCGTTTGCCATCGCGCTCTCCAGCTTCGACAGCAAGCTGGCCTGTGAGTAAGCGGGCGGGCGCTGCCCCAACCCCCCGCCCCGCAGGAAGCCCCCCAGCCAGTCTGTGGCCCCAGGATTCACCACGTGGGTCCGGCTAAGGCTGGTTCCCCATTGCCTCACATTGGACCCTCTCCAGCCAAGACGGGCGAAATGGCATCTTTCTCTCCAGCACTCCCATCTCTCATCGTTTGTCTTTCCTGAAGACAACAAGGTGTCCTCGCTCTGAACATAGACATTTCACTCCATGCTCCCTTTCTGCCCTTCCCATGTCTCCCAGATCTCCATTAGGCATTATTTCCTCATCCTCATTCCTGTCCTCCCCCTTCCCTCTCAGCCAATTTCATTGTGACCTCCCTCATCCCCTCCCAACCAGTCCCATCCTATCTGTCCTCATCCTGTTCCTTTCTCTCCTTCCTCCACCTCATCCTCCTTTGCCAGTCCTCTCTCAGGGCTCGACTGTGCCTGGGTTCAGGCCCAGTTGGGGTAAAGGATGGGTGCTGTGAGTTAGAGAGAATGTACTCCTCACTGACCCAGGGAAAACTCCAAGTATCCCTTTTTCCCATCAGTGCTGACTCACAAATACAAACCATACCCAGAGAGAGGAGGCTTGGAGTCTCCTCTGTGGCTGTGTCAAAATCAACGTCCGTCAGTCTTTGTCTGGGCCTTGGGGGTTAAAACCCTGGAGGTGGAAAGGCTGGCAGAACACAGGACATCCTGGCACAGCAGCCCCTGCCTGCAGCTGCTGCCCAAGTTATCCCATGGCTCCCACTCAGGACTTTGGTTTCGCGTGGAACCATGTTGTTATAAAGCCACCTGCTCCAGTCAGTGGTGAACCAGGGGTGTGTGGATGTGAGATCATGTGTCTCCTGTGAGCATGTTTTGTCTTTCCATACATGTGTGACTGTGTATGTGCGATTCCCCCGAGAGTGTCTGGTTATATGTGGGTGACCGCCTGTGTGATTGGTTGATGCGTCTGTGTTCACCTTTATGACTGTGTTTGTATGTATGTGTGGTTGCCTGTGTGAATGTGTTGTGCGGGTGACTTCTTGCTCCAAATTTCATGAAATATTCCCTTGGGCCTTGTAGGGACTACAGGGTATATGGGCAGCGGATTGTTTCTTCCTTGCATTGAGTGGCCTGCGGGAATTTACTCTTCTGCATAGGGTCATGGCAGCTAGCCTTGCCCAAAACCTTGGCCCCAGGCAGGGCTCAGGCCTAGGCCAGGGTGCAATGCTGAGAATCCTCTGTCTCAGGAAAGACACAGCCTGAGATGGCATCCCCTGGATAATCATGTGTCAGCTAGTGTCAGGAAGAAGCCTTATCTTGGCCTGGCCTGAAGGGAAGGGCATCTGAGAACTCTAGACCTCTAGGCCAATGTCAGGCTGGCTTTTTCTAGAGTAGTGTTCAGTGCAGAGTTCTGGATTTGAGGTCAGCACCTGGGTTCAAATCCTGGCTTTCCTCTTTCTGACCTGTATGACCTTAGGCAAATCACTTAATTCCTCAATACCTCAGTTTCCTCATCTGTAAAATGAGGGGTACAGGGTCAGACTAGACCTCTGAGGTCCCTTCCAGTTCTAAATCTGTGCTCTTTCTATAACCCTAATGGAATTACATGAAGAACGCCTGGATCCTGGGCTCTGCATCCATGGTCTAAGTCCAGTTTAGCTCATTAAACCCTTGGTACGCCCAGGGAGCTGTTTAATAACAATAGTAATAACAGTAACACTAGTAGTTCACGTATCTATAGCGCTTTAAGGTTTACAAAGTCCTTCTCCCCCAGAGGCCCTAGAAGGTAGATAGTACAAGTGTTATTACATTTTAGAAAGGAAGAAATCGAGGCTGAATGTACTGAATGGGGCCATTTTGGACATATCCTGAGGGGACAAGGCATCATGATCTAGTAGAAAGAACCCCTGGTCTGGGGGTCAGGAGACATGGGTTCTATTCCTAGCTCTGCTGGCTCATTCCCTTCTGTTCTCAGCACCTGTTTCCTCTTCTCAATAAGAGAGCTGGGCTCAGGGATGGCTCAGGGGCCCTTCTTATCCTCTGATTGAATCCAGGAACTTCAGGTGGATCAAGAATTAGAGACTTTTTGGAGATGCAGCAACTTGGGGGGTGAGGGCAAGGTAGGACACTGGTGGTCTGGAACCCAGAAGCACAAAGCAACAAACTTCATTGCCCACCCCAGTGGGGTGGGCTGTGGGGCAGGGGAAAATGTTCAGGAATAAGAACCACGTAATAGCTACAGTGCCTCATTGATCACCAGGGGAGGGAGGTGTAACGTCCAAAACCTGAGGGCTGAAGGTATTTCAGGTCGAAGCCTTGGTTAGGACAGATGAGCTCTGCAGCCCATATGGGCAGTCCTCCCACCCTTAGCTGGTTCTTGGTGGCCATTCTGTGTTTTTGATATTCTTTGTTCCCACTTTTAGGAGCCCTGACAGACAAACTAGCTTCCCTTTCCTTCTGAATGTCTGTGGTGTGCAAGGAGGGAATCTGTGTGCATGAGCACAAGGGTGTTTGCAGGCGGCCTGGCCACCCTTTGAATTCAAACCAGACTTCAGGGTTTCCTGAAGTACAGAAACTGCTGGGTCCAGTTCAGCATGCTGGGAGAATAGTCTGTATTGGCTGGGGAGCAGATGTCTTCCTCACTTCCTGACCTTGGGGCAGAGGGTGCCCCTGGATTGGGAGAGCAGGTAACTCCTCAGGGGCTCTGGGCAAGAGGAGGGTGTTCAGAAGAAACAGCATTTTCTATATTTTTTCCTTTCCTTTTTGCATTACTAAACTTAAAGAAATCAATTAGTTTGCATGTGTGTTCTTGGGTAAATTGGGACACATTCTGGGGTAAGTGCCTTACCAATTAACACTAGTGAAGAAAGCATGTGGGAGGGGTTCCATTCCTCAGTGGGAATACTCAGGGGAAGATGCTGCCTGGCAATGAGAAGCCGCACAGACTGAGATTTAGGGGATCGAGGAGTTCCAGGGATAAAGGGTGAAAACAATGGGTAGAGAGAGACCTATAGCTTCTCCCCCATGAGTGAAAAGAAGAAAATGGAAGATCTCTTCCCCGTGAGTTCTTAAAACATGGGTGGTGGCTAGGATTGTAAAGTAGATGTCTGAGCATGCTTGAGAAGTGGCCCACACAAGTGAGCCTTGAGATACCATTGGGGCTTTGGTCCTTGAGCTCTCCAGGGTGCTGAAGGCACTCATGCAAGCAACTTCTATCAACGCCTACGTGGCTTTATGTTGGCAATAATGTTGGCGTCTTCCCTCCTTTGGCACCCTCCTCCCTCTCACCAGTCCTCTTCGAAGACCCCTGAGTGCAGGCCAGGGCCAGGCGTCTTGGAGGGCACTCATTAGGGACCACCTCTCCCTGATGTATTCCCAGGTGGCAATTGATGCTCCACTTCCAAAGACGTGGCCTAACGCAGCCGATTTCCATTGGTACCCAGAATTTTAAGTGAGCCCCTGGCTACTCGCCCGTGGAAAGTGACCAGAAGACAGCATTTGGCTTCTCCCTGCTCCGGCTCAGTCCACCTCTGAAGCATGGGCTGGGCTGCCTCTGTCCCTCTGAATCCCCAGGAATAAGTCCTGGCTGGCTCCTGGCTGACCTGAGGTGGGTGGTCAGTGCTCCCTCCAGCAGTGAGTGGACACTGCTTCCCAGTCAGGAGCAGACTCACACACTAGGCAGGGGCCCAGCCTTCTTCCCTTTTAAGGGGCTGCAGGGACTACTTGTGCTTAATTGGCTCAAAGCTTGGCTTGACATTTCTATGTGCTTTTGCTTTCAGAAAGGAGAGATTGGGGGAGCATTCTGTTTTTTATGAGCATTCCAACTGAGTTTTTATTACAAGACCAAATCAGAGCAAACCAAATCACCCTCACCCCCACCCCATCCCTTGGTGCCCTTTACATTGTCCAGATCATCACAGTGCCTTTTTTTTTCTTTTCTATAAAGGATCCCCCCACCCCCTCTCTCTTCTTCTCCCCAAGGCTTGCTAGAATCTGAGCTGGGCTGGGCCTCAGGTGTTTCCTGTAATGTAGCTAACTCATGGTGAGTTAGAAAGTGGCCTGGCCAGAAGGCTCAGCATCGCCTCAGTGCTGAGAGCCCAGACTTAGCCAGTCATTTCTCATAATGCCTAGAATGTGTTATGTCTATTTGCACAAGAGTGTCTTTTCCTATTTTCAAGTGGTCAGACATTTTATTTTTGTTCAAAACTATCTGGAGTTTTAGATGAATCTGTGCTTTTATTAAGTGACTTTTTAAATAAACTCTTTGGTATTTGAGCAAATGTATTTATTTATCAGTAAGTGCAATGCCTAATTTGGTATTTTCATAATGACATGTCTGGTGTAGGAATTAGTGTTTGGCTACATACAGAGAGCATACTAACAAATTAAACCTTAACTGTTTCAACACTGCTGTTTATGTCTTTCCTGGAAGGGGGAAGGTCATTTGTTCCTTGTCATTCCTTGGTAATTTTATAAGTTGATACTAACCCTTCACAGACATTCTCAAGTGCTCCTGCCCCACAGCCCACTTGCCTTATCAGCTAAGTTATCATGTAAGGCCTCAAGGCCACCAGGCAGGGAATTTTAAAGTAGGCTTCCTGGACAGGTTGTTACCAGTGATCTAAGCATGTTCTAAGAGTTCAAGAAAAGATAACTCACATTTCCCTATCATCTTATTTTCCTCCCTATAACAGTGCAGTGGGGGCTGGCAGATTTAAATAAAATTTTCATGCATAGGAGTTGGTAGGCTGAAAAGGCTAAGCACTCCTAGGTAAGGGAGAGCCCTTTGGCTCATTAGCATGGAGGGAAGGGAGAATCTGCTGAAATGGTAGAGTGGAAGGAGCCCTGGACTTTGAAGGTAGAGACTCCAATTAAAATCTTAACTGTGTGTTACCCTCAGAGGTAAGTCATTTGCCTTCCTGAGCCTCAGTCTCTTCATCTTGGGGTACTCGATGTGGAGCAAGAATACCCCATTTGAGTTGCAGCCTCTGAGACTAACTAGCA